CGAGGTGCTAAATCTGCAAAGGTTATAGCTTTTTTTAGAGTGTGATAGGCGGCTTCTTATTTGTTACATAGAGTTGGCAATTGCAGCTTGCTATTTATGTATGTCTAAGAACATGGCCAGCAAAGAGACCGTCCTATGGAGTGGAAACCTTTACATACTTTCACATGGGAAAATCAAAACAGATGAAAAAACTAATAGAGGGACATTCTGGATTTTCTTTTACTTGCGCTGAATTATAAGTTATGCCATTGCTGTATTTATCTCTTCACGAGAAATAATGAGAAGGACAAGAATTATGCAATTATTGATTTAACAATCAGTCACCTTAGAGGTTTCAATGAATGCCACTTTTGGATAATGAATGACTAGAGAACTTGATGTTTCATTATTCTGACTTATCCTTCTTGAATAGACTTGTGCGATGCAAAATTTGAATTCTGCTTTTTAAACCTGATTCTCATACATTACAAATTTCATTGATACTTCCAGGCATTTTTAGAGCTAGAAACCCTAGAACAATGTGTTCTTGTAGCAGCAGTGCCTCCAGAAGGAATGAGATTTTTATTTGAATTAAATCCTGAGATAGGTGCCGACAGAGATAAAGTTGAGAATAACTCCTCTAGCAATACTGGAGATAAGGTTGGTATATGAATTGTTATATTGAGTTAAGAGGTTTATTAATGTGCTAATCTTTTTTTGTTGCATGCATAGCGCAAGCTTGATGCTTTGGATTCCAATATTGATGGTGGGGTTGCGGACAAACAAGTTGTTCTTTGGCGTGTCAATTTTGAGGAATTTATTCGCCGGCTTAGGCATAAGGTTTGCTTTGACTTACAATCTTCATCTTAACTGTGCCAATACATGTATACAGATATGTTTCTCTTAGATTAACACTGCAATTTAATTTCCAAATTGTCTTTGTACTTGCTCTGTGCTTGTGTATTCTGATCAAGAGAACACTTATGGTCCCGATGTGTAAAATTGAAAAAAAAAAGACTTCAATCTCTTTCTTACTGAATTAACTCTCGCACATCATTCCTTGAGGAAGGTTGGTGGAATGAGATATAAACACAAGATGTTCAAACAGTCAGACAAAATCTGTCATGTCATGCATGCATGGCTATTTTCCATTTCCTTTCTGAGGGGCGGGTTGACTGTGGGGTGCCACATGTTCACTATTTGAAATTTAGGATGTTTCTTGCACAGAAAGAGATAATCCAAGGTGCTCAATTAAAAACTGTTAAAAAATGTTGTTTGTTTTACTTTATCCTCTATGATGTCCTTTTCATTCCATATCTGTATCGACTTTTATGACACTGTGATGGGCTTCTGTTTGATACTAATTACAATCATCATGCAAATGAAAGCTATTAGGCTCATTCCTCTGATTTTCCTATATGCTCCCTGCATATTTTGGTTCAACTGATGCTACTGTTCTATTTTCTTCTAGATTTGTATTGAGACTGTGAGAGCACGGCTGGATGATGAAGCTGCCACTGTCTTCACTGCAATGCTGGATGCATCGAGGAGTGAGGAAAAGAAAATAAAAACAGCAAGCTCAGGTGATGAGATTCTGAGATGATTGTGTAAATTGCGTTTAACTCATTGCATCGTCAGATATTTTTCAATGTATGATCCCAAAAAAATAAGAAGATTTAACACAGCATCTGTGGAGGAATTGATGACTGCCACCCCTCGCCTCTCTATGTACATATATGTTTGTGTGAGTTGATGCATGGAAAATTACAAACCGATGGTTTGGCTTTCTAAGTGTGTTAAGTGGTAGAGAGGAAACATTATTTGTGTTGCCTAAATGATGTGGGCAGAGGTAAATGATGTGGGCAGAGGCTGAGGTCCATCAACCACAGCGCAGTGCTTTTCATGTAGCTCAAGCATCTTGACAAAGCCAGCCAAAATAGAACATTAAATCCTTGTAGCTTAACTTTCTGTCCCGGAAAAAAAAAGAAAAAGAATAAGAATATAAAGAAGGTGGTAGGGAAA